ATAGTAGAGGCTGGCTTTAGTCAGACTGAACCCTAGCCTTATCCCTAACCCCAGTAGTGTAAATTGTACCTGCAGTTTAAAGTAATAGCTTCTTGTAGAATTGTAGCTAAATTATGTATAATTGTGCTACATTTATACTTTATAAAGAATTGCATTGTTTTTTCTGACTTGTACACTTATAGACTTGTATCCTCTATCTAGATGTGTAAGCTGTACTGAGAATTGTCCTACCTGATGCCACAACATCAACAGATCCTGTGCTGGATTCTGAAATGAAACACATATAATATAACTTGATAAAAATCAAGATTTGCTTAAGTCTTTCATAAATTAACAATATTTTCCAATACACCAAAAAAATTATTTAGTTTTATTGGTAAGAAAACACTCTGAAACCCATTGCATTAAATCATTTTTTGCATATATTTCACTTACAAATCACACACATTAGTTCATTAACATGAGGTCCTTGGGCCACAACGCTCACCTGAAACATTTTTTTAAAACATTAAAGATGTGGACAGTTTAAAATATATGTATACCGACAGTTAGCCTGTTTCCCTGGCCTTCCCATAATGCTGTGCAGCCTAAGGAAACAGCTAGGCTAACAAACGGGTCTATGACAGGTGACCGAAAGACAACACACCAAACGACAACTCGCCCACACTTTTTTCACCGACACCATAAAACTCGCCGATACGACAAGTCACCGAAAGAAGGGTCACCGACAGACACATCAACGACCGAATATATAAAACATGGAAATTTAACAAATATTTGGAGAAAATTGTGTATGTGAATAAACGTTTTTATTCATTTTCAAATATTTTTTTCACTAAATCAAAAACTTTACCCAATATTGCTGTCCTGTGACCTTGCTCGGATTCACGAGAAGCAATCCGTATGCGCTAGACCAACAATGATGGATATACAAAAAAAGACAAAGAAAAATAGACGTTTTTTTTTCACAAATCTCTGATTATGTTTATGGAATAGATGAAATATTTAACACATCTCATAATTATTATTAAAACACTGTCCGTGAATTTCTACTCACCGACAATAGTACTCACCGACACTATTGTCGGTGAACTGTCCATTCGCCGAATTTGCACGCGTTGGTGAATTTTACTTTTGTCGGTGACCTGTCTTTCGGTGAGGTGTCTGGAACCGCTAACAAACAGTTAGATGGACTTAAAAACAACAACACACATAGTCAGCTAGATGGATTAACGACACTATTTCAAAAAGCTCACTTGCACAGGTGAGCTTAAAATGTATGACTACAGATCATGCAATTTATAAAGTACCTGGTACCAAAAAAATAGCTATAATTTTATGCTTAGAATACAGGGTGTAGCCCCCTTCATATATACATGTATTTGCTCCTTCAACTTATGAAGTGACAATGACTCCTAAATAAGATTTTCTAGGTTAAATGTTTCAACTGCAACGTATCTGAAATAAGTAAAAACACTTACTATAGTCATATGACTGAGTAGTTGGGAGTTATCAAAATTTAATATCTCTCATGTACAGAGGAATGGAGGAAATTCTGACTAGGATAAAAAGACGTTCGTTTTAGGGATTTCACAAATCATGTATTTACTATTAAATGGAAAAGATCAAAATGGAATAGTTTACAACAATAGGACCATGCTGCCGTGATTTATTTCATTGGTTGGGAGTTTTAAATCAAAAACCTGTGGAAAATGTATGTTTTTCAGTGAGGACACTGGGAATGAATAAGGCACCCTGCAGAATTTTTATTGGGCATGTGGGCAAGCAGGTTATAAATTTTATGAGCCCACACCAAATTTCACTCACAAATTGCGAGTGGGCAAGTGTTAAGTTTAAGCCCTGCAATAGTTTCATAATTTGACCACTTAACACTTTTAAAGTTTTTTTTCTTTCATTGACATTTTCAAAGCTTTACTACTTCACACTTTAAAAGTTTAATAGTTTAATTTCTTCAATCTTTTATTAGACAATTTAATACTGTGATCATGTCAATTTGCATATTGACGTCTGAAAATCCTTAATAAATAAAGTGTTAATTATAATACTGTTAAACTTTTCTTAACCAGACATCACTGGTTGCATCAAATAGAAAACATTTTAAATAATTAAATTTACTGAAAGGCAGTGAAAATTAACATTGCATTAGATAAGATTTTGGTATACACACCATCTGAATTAGACAAGTTTCACTGTATGATGAATGCAGTAAGAGAGGACAATCTGGTACCTTGTTTGACTGTGACAGGAGTCTGGGAGAACACGACCAAATTCTGGTTACCCAGACCGGTCAGAATCATGTTATGGTCCTGAGGGATGGGCATCTCCCCTGGGGATCCCTTGGCTACCTCCTCATCGATTGTGAAGGTCACCTTGGGCTTCTGTCCGGGAAATCTAGATATCAAAAAACAAGTTACTGTTTTACTTCATGTCAAATGATTTTTTGAGTGAGCATTGTTGTGTTCATACATTTTCAATGCCCTCATTCCTAAATAAGGCATCTTTCATGAAAAAAATAAATTTTGGATTGTCTAAATATGGTTTTCTGAGATGTCAAAACCCATTACATGTACCAGTTCTATAAACCCAGTATGTATAACTAAACTGGAGTTTGAACTCGACTCATTTCACTAGCTACATGAATTATCAGTGCATACTTGGATCGAGTGATTCTCATTTTTCCCACTTCTGTCTTTCCTGTTTTGTTTTTTTCCCATCTTTCCTGTAAATATTTTGGAACCTACAAAATAGAAGTCAAGAACAAGTGAGATTTAAATATATATGAGCCTACAAAGAATATGTGAGGTGTAAATTTTTAGAAACCTACAATATACTTATATAATACGAAGAACAAGTGAGATGTACAAAGAGGCAAAACAACTTCCTACTCATAATTCCATTGATAAAAAATAGCATCTTCCAGGTTCCAAACTTAAAAAGCTTTACTTTATATTAAACAAGACATTAAATATCCCAGTCTCTTTCTTCTGTCGAGAGTCAACGCATGACACACAGCACAACATAAAATAGGGGAAAATGTAAAGATCCAGCATAGGAACGGTTCCCTCAATTCTACACAAAAGCTCCTTTAAGTTTCCTGGTCAAGGTGAACTATCATATACACCAAATGCTCTAATATATAAATTAATCAAACATATGTTAAATAAAATCAAGGATAACAAACAATATAATCCTTTGATATTTTATCATTTCCTTTTTTTGTTTGTCAATAAATTAAATATATAATTGCTGTATTAAAAAGTTTATATATTAGAGCATTTGGTGTAGAGATTAAATTTCCGTGACGTCAGCTGATGGCGATTGGGCTTTGGGACGAAATTCGAAGTTTGCTTGAATTTTAGTTGTTAGCATTATAAACACGTTGGATTTAAACTTTAGGAAGAAATGTATAGCGAGAAATATCATATTTGAACCCAATGCTACACGCAAACCGGTAGGCATATCCAATTTATGTGTTAAATTCAAGCCTGAATCGAGGAGGGGGTCAAAATGGCGTTGCACACCTTGTGTATTTATATACCGTAAATCTGGAAATTTTTACGTCGTTTTATTTTTGCGAATTTGGGTCAAAAAGCTGTTGATTAATTTTTACGCTTCAAATTTTTGCGAATTGTCACTGGTGCTAAAAATAAAAATCACTGAAGATTTTCATAACAGGTTATGTTTCAAATAATATGCCCAGTTAGAACACAGGGACTTGCTCCCGGCGTGTAATAATTATTTATTAAAAATCATATACCGTAATAAAAAAAACTACGGTATATGATTTTTTTAATGAATAATTATTACAGACACAACCTTAGGAATACCATCAATATACTCGAAACGTCAAGCGATTGCAAAAGCTGAACAATTTTGATAAAAATACAAAAGGATTTGCACTGAAAAAAGATCTAAATCAATTATAACAAACATTTAGAGGTTGCCTTTTAACCTAAAGAATAATCCAAATGAAGAAAAAATATAACTAATTTTCTCAACGTTTGTTTTTTTTTTCTCACCTAAAATTTACACGCCGCGTTTACATTTGGAACTTTCTAGTAAATACACTGAGTTTAAGTTATCGCCCGTGTTGATACACGGTTAGATAAAAAGACAGTTCTCTCTTTATTGGCAAATTAATTGATGAAAATAATTAAAAAGGGGCATACCGCCTCAGTGCTTGTCTAATCATCCGACGATATTGCATATAATGAGGACAATTTACACGCACGGGTAATTAACTTGTAGTTATATAGTAGACTAGTGTAAACAGGTTTCTTTTAAAAATGACCAGTGCTTACCGACGCCTATTCACTGAGTTAAAAAAGACACGAGTTCTCAGAAAAAAATTCTTCACATGTTGATTTATTTTTAAGAAAAATATTTTTGCGAATGCAATGCATGCGCAAATTTGCTAAAAATTTATCTACAGTAAAAATTTCCAGATTTACGGTATAGAGGGGGTAGAATTTTTCAATATTTGGCTTAATTAGCGACTTATTGATAAAAATTCAGGTGCCTGTGACCAAACCAGGATTCAAAACCCAGGTCCCCTGAATATCTGGTCAGATGCTCTAATGACTGAGCTATCCGGCCACCGGCGATGATTGAACCTGGCTGACCCCCACACATTCAGGCATCAAAAGTAACCGGAGAGGAGAAAAATGTGAAGGACCAAACCAGGATTCGAACCCGGGTCCCAATGAATCTCAAGTCAGTTGCTCTTCCAACCAAGCTATCTGGTCAACGTAGATCGAAACCGTCTGGCCGCCACATAACTATTTCAAACTATATCTAAATCAAGAGAATATGCTGGACCTGATTTTATGCTTTCATACCCAAAACCTATACACTGTCATAAGAATATGCTTTGAAGTCAAACAAATTGTATTATTTATTGTCCATTCAACCTATGCTCACCTTGACCAGCCATACACCTCGGCCTGCCGCCGATAGATCGACGTTTTTCGGCTCCTGTATCTTTTCAGGTATTGACATTATTGTGGAACTCTTCTGTAGTTGAAAACACTAAAAGTCTACACTTCCTGTTTATTATCTGGCGGGAAATAACCATAGTAAGATAGTTATTGTTACTGCAAAGAGTAAGTTCACTAGAGAAAGTAGAGATTTTTTCAGTGAAGGATCCACTAAGCAGAATGTGTTTCATATATTGAGAAGAGTATATTTTATGAAGATATAAGATGTACAAAGCTTATCTATTTTTAACTATCAATGTGTTCTTATAATAATCTTAAAACAACCCACAGGAAAATGTGAACAGAAATATTGATGGCTTTTTTTTTTACTAAAGTGCCCATATGGGCTTGTCTTCCGGATTGTTAAATGTAAAATAAATTTAAAAATTTTTTCATCTTCTTTAAATACACTCAAAAGTTGTTAAAATAAAGATCCTGACACTTTTAGGCAAGAAAAACCACATTTAAAAAAGACGTACCACACCTATATACATAAACTCTATAAGGGACGCAAGCTCCCATCTTGGAAAAAATACCCCCGCCCACTTCAGCGCCTATTTTTGGACTCTAAGCCTTTAATTTATTTCGGTATCATGGCTCTGTCCCCTACAGTGATGATTTTCCTAAATGTTGATGCGATTGTCAGTCGTGAACACGCGTTTAATCAACAGTAAACGGAATACAATTTCTTTGATTTGAGCTCATCTTGCTGAATCGACCCAAAAAGAACAGAAGTTGACAAAATTACAAGGGCAGATAATGATTGTATAGGGAAAACTCAGAGGGTAATCGAAAGCGAATGGTAACACCCAAGGATTTCTAGCTTCGCGGAGAAAAATGTTTACTGACAAGAAAAAGACAGTGAAAAATGATAAATACGGGCTAAAGTTTGGTTTCACAGGCTAAATTGTCATTGGGAAGACTCATTTAATATATAAGTAATTTGTTACATAATTTAAAAGCGCGCTATAAAATTGCTATACCACGATTATCGCCCTTGCGTCGTTACAATGCAACCATGTCAACTTCCGTTCTTTTTGGGTCGATTCAGCGAGATGAGTTCAAATCGAAGAAATTGTATCTGTTTACTGTTGATCAAAAAAAACAATCCAAAGCAGAGATAGTTTAAACATTGCTGTATTTGGACAATTTGGAGCAAAACATGTAGATCTATTTCCATTGTTTGGTTAACTGTCCTCTCTATTGGGTGCGGTGAGGCATGACTGAGTATGATTACTTCACATTGTACTGAATAATTACCAACCTTTAATCGTGTTAACAGGAACTGGACTTCTTTGTCATTTCATTCAAGGAGTAACTGTTCCAATTGTCATACATAGCCCCAAAACTTTCAGAACTTAATTTGATTGCAATTGCGCAGAAAAAGACATTTCTTCAACAGTGATTTTTACTGAATTGTTTTCAGATGAATTCAAAGTTGAAAATGATCATTGAATCATCACTGAATCAAATGAGATTTTCTGCACATCCTGAGAAAAATGCTTTTTTATATAAATAAATTGATTTGGTAGCTAAATAAAGCTACCTGAGGTAGGTAAATCAAGCTATGAAGCTAAATCTAGTGATTGTACCAGACCTGATTGATCCCCAAGAAGTTATGGAACTTCCGAGGGATCAATCTTCTAAACAGTTGGCATACAGAAAAACTTGTCAACCTTACGTTATTCCTTTACAAGTGTCCTGATGCAGATTTAAGAAATTTATAGCCAAAATAAAAATTTTCATTTTTTGCACTGTAAAGAAGGTGGGCCCATTTGGCGAGTGATCTGCAGGAATCATTTGTACGAAACATTGATGGTTTAAATGTCCATGATTTGGTTGGCTGAACATAGCTGGTCATATTTTACAAACACGTCCGTAGGTTTTTTTTTGCATTTAGTTTGAAAGTCCTTGTGAAATTGTAACATTTATGTCCGTTTTTCCTAGGGGGTACTTTAACATAGTAATGTTTCACAAAAAATAAACACCTAAAACATTTAATGCATAGATGTATGATTCGTGTACATGTACATTATAGAACAGAAGATTAGACTTGATTTCGCTGGAGAACCAAACTGAACCAAAATTTATCTAATTAAAAGTTTTAATACATCAGTACATAAAACGAAACTGACAAAATAAATGGTTGTTTGCATGAAAAAAAAAATTAACGCCCGATGCCAGGCTCGAACCAAAAACTTTTCACTTAGAGTGCACTGAACAGGTAGTCCAACTTACTGAGCTATCACCGCTACACATATACAGATGATTTTAAAAGGACAAAGAAGCACCACATTCACACATTTGGATTTTTTTGGGAAAAGTTCATTTTTCGTGGTCTCTGGGTCTTCTTTCCATTTTTAGCTTTACTGGTCAGAGACCAGAAGAGCTTATGCGATAGTAATGCGTCCGTCGTCCGTCCGTCTGTCTGTCTATCTGTCTGTGTAAACAATTTTTCAAAATGCTACTCCTCCTACAGTTTTGGTCTGATTTCAATATAACTTGGCACAAAAGTAGACTACACTAAGATACATAATTTTGTGCATCGGTTTTTTATTTCGATGAACGGTGTTGCCGTGGTTACTAAAAATAGAAATTTCTGTGAAATTCTTTCAAAATGCTACTCCTCCTACAGTTTTGGTCTGATTTCAATATAACTTGGCACAAAAGTAGACTACACTAAGATACATAATTCTGTGCATCGGTTTTTGATTTCGATAAACGATGTTGCCATGGTTACTAAAAATAGAAATTTCTGTGAAATTCTTTCAAAATGCTACTCCTCCTACAGTTTTGGTCCAATTTCATTATAACTTGGCACACAAGTAGACTACACTAAGATACATAATTCTATGCATCGGTTTTTGATTTCGATGAACGGTGTTGCCTTGGTTACTAAAAATAGAAATTTCCTTGAAATTCTTTCAAAATGCTACTCCTCCTACAGATTTGGTCCAATTTCAGTATAACTTGGCACACAAGTAGACTACACTAAGATACATAATTCTGTACATCGGTTTTTGATTTCGATAAACGGTGTTGCCGTGGTTACTAAAAATAGAAATTTCTGTGAAATTCTTTCAAAATGCTACTCCTCCTACAGTTTTGGTCTGATTTTGATATAACTTGGCATACAAGTAGACTACACTAAGATACATAATTCTGTGCATCGGTTTTTGATTTCAATGAACAATGTTGCCATGGTTACTAATCAAAGTACTCAGAAGTACAGAGAGCCGGGCTCATTTACAGAGTAGAATGGATTTTTTACATGAATCACGTTTATATTCTGATGAAAAAATTATTTTAAAACTATTTATATAAATGATAAGATACTGACAGTGAGTTTTTCAATCCTAATACCACGGTCCGATTTTGTCAGAATCAGAATTAATCTGGTACCGCAGCTGAATGTAAACAAACAGGCCAGTCTGGTTCCCTCTCCTGCTTTACCTCGTATGTGTAGAGAACTACGGTAACACTGATTATCAAAATCCTAATGAACTATGTTCTTTGATTTATGAAGTTTTCAAAGTCATTACTACTAATGTTTATTTTATATAGATAAAACTTCGTTTTTTTTGTTGCTTTATTTAGCGTTTGTATTATCTCAAAAGCGGTTGAAAGTAAGAACTATATTTTTGCACGTAACTTTAAAATGGCGACTATGGGGTCAACATCCTGCCTTGAACAGGATCCCATAAGCCGGCAATTGCTCTTTGAGCAATAAGCCCGGCTAAAAATAGAAATTTCTGTGAAATTCTTTCAAAATGCTACTCCTCCTGCAGTTTTGGTCTGATTTCAGTATAACTTGGCACACAAGTAGACTATACTAAGATACATAATTCTGTGCATTGGTTTTTATTTTTGATGAGTGGCAAGGATCATTTTTCTATTTATTGCTGATTTAAAGTCTCAAGTCCCAACTGCTACTTTTCTCTTCCTTTGTTTTAAGTATAAACCAGTAGAGCTACAGTCTCGACAGAGACTTCTGGTTTTAAAAAAGTGTATTCGTTTCTTTGAATTAAAATACACACAAATAACGTTTCAAAATCATGGAGAGAAGACCCAGAGATAGAAAAAGTTCTTAAAAACGTGTTTAAAAATGTACCATTTTGTACCAAATGTCTGATCTGGCCAATTTTCAAGTTATTTTTTAGCAAATCAGAGCTCAATTTCGGGAAAATATTTTCCTTTCTTGTTGCACAGGAACCTGTTAAATTAAAATAATATTAAAATTTCATGTGATATGTCGTTAAAATTTCATGTGATATGTCGATAAAATTTTCACTTTTCAATTATGCCAAGATTCCTGCCGATTGCCAATCAAAAGCACCCTCGTTCTTTATATTCCATTTGGGATGGACTTTTTTATCCCATTTGGGCGAGTGGTCTCAACCTGGTTTAATTGATTGATAAACTGTATTTGTTTCTTTTCATTTATTAATTTAGTTGACCTGTTAAAGGGTCTCAGTTAATGCCACAGTGTGCAGTGTAATGAGGGTCCTTAAAAACTTTCATGTTATGTTTATATTTATTTAAATTTTAATCATCAATTTAATGAGTAACTTGAGAACAGAAATTTTGATAGAAAGGAATTTTCGTATTTTGAATTGCTTGATAATTTAAAGCTAAATTTGAATTTTTTTTAATCTGGTAAACAAACAAATATGTATATAAATTGTCATTTTGATGCATTATTCAACTTTTTAAAAATTAATGCATTTTTTTTTTCAGAAAATGCACCCATTTTTTAAACCACGAGAAGCAGGAACAACATCAAAAGATGCCAAAACACCGGAAACATCAGACAAAGTTGGGAAGGGAAAACAGAAGCACATTCCATGGGTTGAAAAATAGTAATTCAATCATTATGATACTACATAAATAAAAATGATCGAGGGAGAATTTCAGTATATTAACACAATTTTGTTGGAAAGAACGAAAAAAGTACTTGTTTTTTCAGTCACGTTTAAATTTACAGTCATGATATTGATAAAAATTTATAATGTATATTCCATTTTTAGTCGTCCACGTTCCGTTGATGACGTAGCTTATCAGGATGAGGTCGTAGCTGTCCTTAAAAAATCTCTAGAAGGATCAGATGTAAGTTCTCCAACAACCCTGTAAAATTGTATTGCTATAGGTCTCTTTGAGTTGATAATATTATGTATAAATATTGCATTTTATGATGCTAGATAAGATAATGTTGAATTATTTATCAGTTTTTTTTTTCAAACAATAAATTAAAGGAATAAATTTCTAGGTGCCATATTTGTCTTATAATTTATCAATTTTCTCCATGGTTTGTTTAGCTTCCGAATCTGTTGTTCTATGGACCACCGGGAACTGGTAAAACGTCCACCATCCTGGCCGCAGCTCGATCTCTGTTTGGGTAAGGATTTCTGTATACAACAGTAGGTTATACTAGGGACCTTTATACTATAATATTTTATATGCTTTCTGTTTTTAGCTCACCTCAACGAAGTTGGGGGAGCTTATGTAATACCCTCGGCGTCGGTGTTGGCGTCGGTGTCGGCGTCTGTGTCGGCGTCCCAGGTTAAGGTTAAGTTTTTTGGAGCAGTTTTCTTTTTAAGTACTTCTATGTCCTATATTGATTAGACATGCATGGAAGATGGTTCTAGTGTGTTTCATTGTACCAGTCAAAGTTTCAGATGCTGCAATTTCAGCAGAGGAATGACCAGGTTAATGTTTTTGGAGCAGGTTAACATTTTTGGTGCAGTTTTTGGTGTAGGTTTCATTTCCAAGTAAGTATAATCCCTATGTTGACCAAACTTGCATGGAGGATACATCTAAGGATGGATACAACCAGGCTTGCTTCGGATGCTGAATCTGACCTACATTTTCCGGTTGAGTGAACAGGTTAAAGTTTTTGGTGCAGGTTTCATTTTATAAGTAACTATAAGCCCTATGTTGACCAAACTTGCATGGAGGATACATCTAAGGATGCATACTTTCGGTCTTGCTTCGGATGCTGAATCTGACCTACATTTTCCGGTTGAGTGAACAGGTTAAAGTTTTTGGTGCATGTTTCATTTGCAAGTAACTATGAGCCCTATGTTGACCAAACTTGCATGTATGATACATCTAAGGATACTGGGCTTGCTTCGGATGCTGAATCTGACCTACATTTTCCGGTTGAGTGAACAGGTTAAAGTTTTTGGTGCATGTTTCATTTCCAAGTAACTATAAGCCTATGTTGACCAAACTTGCATGTATGATACATCTAAGGATGCATACTACTGGACTTGCTTCGGATGCTGAATCTGACCTACATTTTCCGGTTGAGTGAACAGGTTAAAGTTTTTGGTGCATGTTTCATTTCCAAGTAACTATAAGACCTATGTTTACCAAACTTGCATGGATGATAATCTAAGGATGCATAATACCGGTCTTGCTTCGGATGCTGAATCTGACCTACATTTTCCGGTTGAGTGAACAGGTTAAAGTTTTTGGTGCATGTTTCATTTGCAAGTAACTATGAGCCCTATGTTGACCAAACTTGCATGTATGATACATCTAAGGATGCATACTACTGGGCTTGCTTCGGATCCTGAATCTGACCTACATTTTCCGGTTGAGTGAACAGGTTAAAGTTTTTGGTGCATGTTTCATTTGCAAGTAACTATGAGCCCTATGTTGACCAAACTTGCATGTATGATACATCTAAGGATGCATACTACTGGACTTGCTTCGGATGCTGAATCTGACCTACATTTTCCGGTTGAGTGAACAGGTTAAAGTTTTTGGTGCATGTTTCATTTGCAAGTAACTATAAGCCCTATGTTGACCAAACTTGCATGGATGATACATCTAAGGATACACTCTACCGGGCTTGCTTCGGATGCTGCATCTGACCTACATTTTCCGGTTGAGTGAACAGGTGATAGTTTTCATCAAGAGATGAAAATTCTCAAATTTGCTTCAGATGCTGGATATTGATTACATTTTCATGAAGAATAACTAGTTTAAATTTTTTATATAGGTCTATTTCAAAGTATCAGATCAAAATTGCTTAAATATTTTCATTTTTGGAATGTACACTATTTGTTGGTTAATTGTGTGACTTTGCCTTACGTAAAGACAACATTCGTTGAGGTGAGCTCTGTAATCTCTGATTACCTATGTTTCTCTATTTGGGTAAGGATTATAGACAATGTCAGACCAAAAGGTCTTATTATAATAGTTTATGTAACGTAACATCAGGTTAATTCTAGAGATCCTATACTCCCCACGAACAAAGTCTAGGGAGAGTTATCAGAATCGGTATGTCCACCTCTCAGAACATCTGTCTGTTTATATAAGGCTATATAAAATTGAAATTCTGGTTCTCAGGCCCGCACGCATCCGTTTTGAGGTAGCCGCATTGCTAATTTTATTGTATTTTTGATAAAATAAAAAGTTGGTATTGCGGAGACCAATCCGGAAATAAAATTCCGACCTCATTTGTTTCGTAGTTTAGTATTCAAATATTACTTCCGGTAGCCATTTGCAATGAAATTTTAGCTACTTCATTTGAAAATACATTCGAGGACATTACCTACGATGTTTACACCCTGATAAGCAATGGATAAAGCAGAAATTTTGACCAGAAATGGAAAGTATATCTGTGATTAAAAAAATTACCTTTATGTTACAGAAAATTCGAAAATTAGAATTAAAAAAATACCTCCCTCATCTACTTTATTGCCAATAAAATGATAAATAAAATGCCGCCCTCCCGCATCTGTTTTGGAGAAAATTGGCCCGAGAACCAGAGAATTAAATTTAGATAGCCTAACTGCTATTTGATTCCTGTAAGCAACATCAGGTTAATTCTAGAGATCCTATACCCCCTACGAACAAAGTCTAGGGAGAGTCATTAGAATCAGCACGTCCACCTCTCGGAACATCTGTCTGTTTATATAACTGCTATCTTATTCCTGTACGCAACATCAGGTTAATTCTAGAGATCATATCCCCCAAACAAAGTCTAGGGAGAGTCATTAGAATCAGCACGTCCACCTCTCGGAACATCTGTCTGCATATAAGCATAATTTTTTCTGGACCTGTTTTTGGAGACTATAGCATGGATTTGTGTGAAAATTTGTATTTTGTAATGTATATTTCGTAAAAAAAAATTTAATTTCATGTAATAAGAGGTATTTAACGAGATATTGTTCATTGTCTTAATGTTGAATATTACACAGACAACAGAAAAAAGATTCTTCACAATTTATATACAATACTGATTCATTAAAAAAAAAGGGGGGTGAGGGGAATGTTTATAATGTGCAATTGAAACACCCCAAAGTGTTAGAAAATGATCTTGTTTAGTTTGTGCACCTTAGTTTAGGAATCGTAATTTTGGTTTATAATATACTGTTAATCATTTCTAATGAAGGCTTTTCTAATTCCATGCATTTGCACACAAATACATGCACGCACAAATTAATCTTCAATATATACCTCAAACTGTTAAACAAGGAAACTGTAATTGACATTGAAGACTGTTGACAACACTTGAAATGTTAATGTCCCTGTGAAGGAATGGCTTATGTAATCTATATTGTTTATTGCTGTGTTTTTTCCTAATTAATTAACTATGAAATTGATTTGAATGCCATTTACGTGTACATACTCACATGTAGACATATACAGAGAATATACCGCTAAAGGGAGATCACAATGAGAATTAAGAGGTGTTGAGCCAAAGTATAAAAATTTGAGGCAATAAGAAAGGCCAGGAATTCAAACACTTGCTATAAGCTTTCAAACATATCAAAATAGGCCTATATTAAATTTAGATATAAAACATGTTTCTAAGTTACTGGTGTGTATATTACACAGACTTCATTTTGGGCCTATTTTTCATGAAGCACTAGGTGGGTTCATGAAATATGCAAATGTGGCAAGTCTGAAACACACTAACTCACACAACACTTTAAAAATATCCCTACATTAAGTACAGGATTATGTGTTGCAAACTTTGGAAAAACTAGTGCTGAAAAAAATTATCTATATAAAAAGTCCAGTAAATGAGTGTTTGAATATTTGTGACAAGATAAGAGAAAACTTGACAGAAGTTGACATCTGTGATGTTTTAAATTCCAAAGTTTACCTTTTTTGTTACTATCAGTGAAGAAATAAAGACTATTTAAAATTGCAAAGTCCTGTTTTGTGTAAAAAAAAAAAGTTGTTATGTATGTACTGTATATGTTTTTGCTATGTCATTGCCGTTGCTTTACAGAACAGAGATGATGAAGTTACGAGTATTGGAGCTGAATGCTTCCGATGAACGAGGAATTAATGTTGTCAGAGAGAAAGTCAAGAAATTTGCTCAGACTACTGCCAGTGGAACAAAACCAGAGTAAGATAGGATTTTAGGACATAAAAGTTTTGTTTCAAGATAAAATTAAAACATTTTGTATAACTTAATACTAGGGATGTCAATTTTATATAAACTAATATTTATATTTCAAGGCAGTTACCATGTTTTTAGCTCACCTGTGCCTTTTCTGATCAAAATTTTTCCGTTCTCCTCATCATCGTTGTCATCATAAACTTTTCACATTTTCATCTTCTTCTCAACAACCATCTGTCCAATTTCGACCAAACTTGCCACAAAGTGTCCTTGGGTAAAGGGGATTCAAGTTTATTCAAATGCAGGGCCTCACCCTTTTCCAAGGGGATATAATTATAGATTAGTAAAAAATTAATGGCATGTTTTAAAATCTTCTTCTCAAGAACTACATGGCCAGGAAAAATGAAATTCATGTGGAAGTATCTTCAGGTAGTACAGATTCAAATTTATTCAAATCATGACCCCCAGGGATAGGGTTTAACATTGGAATACATAGAAAAAATCTTTAAAAAGCTTCTTCTCAAGGACAATTGGGCAAGGAAAGATGAAACTCAAGTGGAAGCATCATCTGGTAATGTAGATTCCAGTTTGTTCAAATCATGACCCCCGCGGGTAGGGTGGGGTCAAAATGGTGTATCAAAGTTTAACATAGAAATACATATGAAAATCTTTAAAAATCTTCTTAAGAACAGCAAAGCCATGATTGGTCAGAGTTATATGGAAGCATTCTCTGGTTGTGTAGATTCAAGATTGTTCAAATCAAAACCACTGGGGGTAGGGTGAGGCCTTAGAGGGGGATCAAAGTTTAACATAGGAATACATAGGAATACATAGGAAAAATCTTTGTAAAAATTTTCTATTCAAGAACAACTGGACCAGGATAGATGAAACTCAAGTGGAAGCATCCTCTGGTAGTGTAGATTCAAGTGTGTTAAAATCAAGAATTTGGGTTTATTAGGCTATGTTTATTAAGTCAATGCAAGGGGAAGTTGTAGGATAAATATTGGGGAGAGTACTTTGACTCTTAAAATTTTCTGACTTTGACCTATCCCATGAAGTCTTGCCCTCCATTTAAAATCATTCATTTATCCTGGATGTTGTATAGATACTGTACACCAACTTCTACTCATGTTTTTTTGGACAGCGGGAAACCTTGCCCTCCATTTAAAATCATTATCGTGGATGTTATGTAGATACAAGTGTAGTTTTTTTTAACAGTGGGAAGCCTTGCCCTCCATTTAAAATCATTATCCTGGATGAGGCAGACTCCATGACATCCCCAGCTCAGGTGAGTGATTAACAGATACATAAAGGGACACAATGCTGTCAGAACTAAAATTACAAAAAGATGTACAAAGTCACTATTATAATCAGTGGCTGGAAGAGCTATAAGCACAAAAATAGATACTAAGTCATAAGAAATTTATATTTGTAAGACCTTTTTCATTCAAAATTTGAAAAAAATTGTTTAAAAAATAGGAATTTATTGATAAATTTAAGTCTCTGAAGAGAAGCATTTAATTTTTTGTGATATTTTACGGGAAAGTAGATTTTGCAGTGTTTTGAATAGAGCATCTGATTGATTTGATCTTTTTCTACAGGCAGCACTGCGAAGAACAATGGAGAAAGAAAGTAAATCTACCCGATTCTGCCTGATTTGTAATTATGTTAGTCGGATCATAGAACCAATAGCCTCCCGCTGTGCCAAGTTCCGGTTTAAACCCCTAGCAGACCAAGTGCTGAGTGAGAGATTGACAGAGATTTGTGATAAAGAAAACATTGCTTATGACAAGGAGGTACATAGCTCATTAAGTAGCCTTATTTTTATTAAGATCTTGTAAATACAGTAAAACTTGTTTAGTATGAACATGGATATTGTTAATTCATGGATATTGCGAAGTTATCTTGGATCCCCAATTCTATAAATTTAATAATGAATTTCTTATACAGATATAACAAATTATGAATATAGTGAAGTAATTTCATTGATAACAAGTAAATACGTAAAGAAATTCCCTCACACTTGCATATCCATGCTATTGTACGAGGGGCTTTCAATATTTTTTGTCCAAACCATATTACAGCAACAAAAACAAAATAAAAATTTAAATCATTTATTGCATTCCCTCAAAGTAATCTCCCTTGTATTTGATACAGAGATCGTCATTTAATCCAGTCAAAAAAACACTTTTTTGTAAGTTTTTTGTGGTATACCCCTTAAATACTGAAAAATAGCTGATCCCAGCGCTGACCGCGATTAAAAACGCCTTCCAGAAATTTTGAGAGCTTGTTTTAGTTTTGGAAACAAGAAAAAATCACAAGGAGAAAGACCAGGTGAATATGCAGGATGCGGAAGTTTGACAACTTTGAGACGCTGTAAATAGTCTCTAGTAACTTTTGCTTTATGAGCAGGAGCATTGTCATGCAGAAGTTTAATGCCTCTCAAACCGGTATTAGGTCGTCTTTTTTGGTAAAAATTATAAATTCTCAGAAGTATACTTGAAGAATACATATTTCCAGTGACACTTCTTCCCTGTGGGACTGCATTTTGGATTACCAAGCCATTTGAGTTGAAAAATATTGCGTATAGAGTTCTTTTTGCAATTGTTGGCCTCTCCACATTCTTTCCAATCTAAACCTGATTTTTCGCTTTTCTTTCTGGCTGGAAAAAATGGACCCATGTTTCATCACCTGTGACAATCTGACTAAGCTTCCTAGTGTCAATATCTTTAAACATTTTCAAAAGTTTTTGGCACTTTTGTAAATGACCCATCTTCTGAGCTTTGGTAAGAATATGTGGAATCCTCCTTGCACAAATTTTATGGTACTTTAATTTAGTTTTAAAATAGCAAAACACTGCCCATTGAAATTCCTACACGTCTTGCTATTTCTTTGACGGTAAGTCGTGCATCTGTCTTAAGAATATCACGGATTTTGGAAACATTACTTTTGGTGACTGCTCTTGGTGGTCTTCCTGAATGTTTGTTGTCGGAAACACGTGTTCTACCACTCTTAAACTTGCTTACCCATCTGTAAACTGTCTTTTTTGGAATAACAGACCCACCATATATCCGAACAATTTCTTCATATATTTCATTTCGTTCTATACCAATGACACAGCGAGCAAGAATATATCTTCTTATTTCAAGTGCCTCCAGACTTCATGTTTTACCCATAATTGATGTCCAGTGTATTCGGGTAGGTCAGTTGCAAATGTAAGTGTGTGTTTCAGATTGCACAGGCTTGTTCCAAATTTTGACACAATGTCAATAAAAGATATCTTCATTCATGGATGACCAGATCCCAAATCGACTGATCTAATTTATAATGAAAACCATAAGGGACAAAAAATATTGAACGGCCCTGGTTTATCGAAATTTGAGATAATGTACTAAGTTCAACTGTAACTGCTGATTTACTGACTCCTATACTAACTTTATTTAGGCCATCCAAGCCCTGATGGATACCTCAGAGGGAGACATGAGGAAAGCCATCACCTACCTACAGAGTGCAGCCAGACTGAAGGGGGATGAAGAGGTTACCTTGGGGGATGTGTACGAAATAGCAGGGGTAAGTCAAGTCAGTGCCTGGGGGATGTGTACGAAACAGCAGGGTAGGTCAGATCAGGGCTTGGGGGAGGGGATCTACCAATTAGCAGGGGTAAGTCAGGTCAGGGGGGGCCTGTACCAAATAGCAGGGGTAAGTCAGGTTGGGGGGGGCTCTACCAAATAGCAGGTATAAGTCAGGTCGGGGGGGGGGGGGCTCTACCAAATAGAGGGATAAGTCAGGAGGGCTGGGGGGGGGGGGGGGGGGGGGGGGGGGGGGGGCTCTACCAAATAGCAGGGATAAGTCAGGTCAGGGGGGCTCTACCAAATAGAGGGGTAAGTCAGGGGGGGGGGCTCTACCAAATAGCAGGGATAGGTCAGGTCAGGGCTTGGTGGAGGGGATCTACCCAATAGCAGAGGTTAGTCAGGTCAAGACTGGGAAGGTAAGGGAGTTAACAAATAGCGGGGTCAAGTCAGAGCCTGGGGGACCACTACCAAATAGCGGGGTAAGTCAGGTCAGGACTGGAAAGGTAAGGGGGTTAGCAAATAACAGGCGTAAGTCAGAGTAGAGCTGGGAAAGTTGGGGAGTTCTACCAAATAGCAGGGCATAATCAGATCAGAACCAAGAGGAGGGGACTTTTACTAATTAGCAGAGGTAAGTCAGATAAGAGAAAGGTCTAGGGGTGTTGAAAAATTGATTCAGAGAGCTGTTTACCAGATTTCATGGGTATTACTGTGCAAGCATCATTGGGTAGCGCAAGTTCAAATTGTAGGGTTGAGCTTCAATAGGAGATAAAAATTTTACATGTGTATATAGAGAAATAAATTTTTAAAAATCTTCTCAATTATAGCTTAGCCATAATTTTTCAGATACTGCTATTGAAGAATGAGATTGACCAAGTAAAGAGATGTGGCTCTTTTAAGTATTTTATTGCATAAATATGAGAAGAAAAAAATTAAGTAAAGGACAGTTTAATTGATGATGAATTTCTTTGATTACAGGTGATTAAAGAAGATAAAATTGACCAGTTAATCAAAGTTTGTCACTCCAACTCTTATGAAAAACTAGAAAAGATGGTGCAGGTATGTCTGAATGAGCTCATTCTATATCCTTTGGCCATCAGTTTTATCATTCCTCAGATTTTTCTGAGCTAAATCCATTCCCAAGTGACTATAAGCCTTATGGTGACTTAATGCAAGATAGATGCATCATAAGATGAATACTTCCAGACATGCTTTAAATGCTGGTTCTGACCTACATTTTTTGAATGATCAGATTAATGTTTTGCACAAGTGTGTTCCCAAGTACTTTCCTAGTTGTGTTCAAACTTGCAAGGTTGATTCATAAATGGATGCACTCTACCAGACGAACCTTGGATACTGGATCTGACCCACATTTTTTGGATTTTTAACATTTTTGGAACAGGTTCATTCTCAACAAGGTATATTATTTTTAGGTGATAAAAATATGTATGGATGATATATCTAGGAATGCCCACTTCAGATGCCGGATCTGAACAATGAAGTACATCTTTTGAGATGAATGACTAGGATAAGTTTTTGGGGCAGATAAATGTCTTAAAGCCCCAAGGTGACAAAACATGTTTGATTGATGCATATATGGATACTATCAGACTTGTTTTGAATGCTGGATCTGACCCCTGTTTCTGGATGTCATATTGAGGAGGATTAAGTTTTTGAAGCAGATCCATTTACAATAATTATAAACTAGTGTTGTCAAATCGGTTGAAAATCAGAATCGATTAATCGGTAGCATCGTTTGACCCTAACCAACTGATCATCTGCCAATAATCGAATCGGTAACCCTTTGCATAAAATAGGCACTATATTTCATATAAAATTTTATTTTTAAATAATGTAAGTAAAGGTGCATTGTACAGATCGAAATTCTAAAATATATATGCAGTTTGAATAACAATTTCAGTAGGCCTAATACAGATTTTTGCATGATTAGGAATAACTTGGCCTGGGAAACGTAAGCATTGACAGATCCGGTTTTAATTTACAAGATCTTCTAAAATATCTGGAATTAATTTTTATACCCCCCGCAAACGAAGTTTGGGGGGGTATATAGGAATCACCTTGTCCGTCTGTCTGTCTGTCCGTCTGTCTGTGCAATCGTGTCCGGTCCATATCTTTCTTACAGAGGGACATTAGAATCTACTACTCCACATTAAGATTGCTCATAACCTAAGGGTGTGTCATGACCTTGACCCAAGGTAATTTGGGGAAGTTCAAGGTCACTGGAAGAAAAATTTCATAATTCGTGTCCGGTCCATATCTTTCTTATGGATAAACTTGGTAGGTTCTCATTTCACACAAAGATTGCCCATGACCCAAGGGTGTGTCATGACCTTGACCCAAGGTCATTTGGGGAAGTTCAAGGTCACTGGGAGAAAAATTTCAAAATTCATGTTTGACACATATCTTTTATGGATAAGCTTGGTAGGTTCTCATTTCACACAAAGATTGCCCATGACCCAAGGGTGTGTCATGACCTTGACCCAAGGTCATTTGGGGAAGTTCAAGGTCACTGGAAGAAAAATTTCATAATTCATGTCCGGTCCATATCTTTCTTAAGGATAAACTTGGTAGGTTTTCATTTCATACAAAGATTACCCATGACCCAAGGGTGTGTCATGACCTTGACCCAAGGTCATATGGGGAAGTTCAAGGTCACTGGAAGAAAAATTTAATAATTCGTGTACGGTCCATATCTTTCTTATAGATAAACTTGGTAGGTTCTTATTTCACTCAAAGATTGCCCATGACCCAAGGGTGTGTCATGACCTTGACCCAAGGTCATTTGGGGAAGTTCAAGGTCACTGGAAGAAAAATTTTATAATTCGTGTTTGATACATATCTTTATTATACAAAAACTTACTTCTGAAAAACCCAGCGGGGGGTATTTTGTCCCGATTGGACAGTTCTAGTATTATCCTGCTTTTGAGCTCACCGGAGTCTTTCTGATCGATTGTAACATTAACAATTAGACTGAACTTGGACCAAAATGTGTCCTTTATAAAACTGTTTGCTAAGCAATTGTTTTATTTAATATTTAAGCAATAATATTGTTTTATTACATATTTTCAATGTATATGTATATATATGTCATGTATATTATTGAGTTATTCCCATCTGCAGCTCTCTATTGGCTGAGATCCAACATTCTTGAAATAACGCATTATGTCAGGGTACATGTATTAAATTATCATTTCCCCTCGGATCCTTATTTGTTGGATCCTTCACAATTTACAATGGGAAGAACTTTTTAAGAATTGGTTATGAAAACTACTGCTCTAGTTTAAACTGTTATAAGACTTAATATCGCAAATCCTTGTGAATTCGTATGATATGAAAAGTGAATTCCCCCCAAATACTGAAAACTTATATATATATATATATCTCCTAAATACCAAGGTGCGCTATGTGAAATTTCGGTGGCCATTTTGAAGTGGTGAATAATTATGTCCCTTGACTGTAGTTTAGTTTCTTCAGTTTAGAAAAACAATTATCATTATCTTTAGCTGCAGATCTGTAGCTCTCCGAAAAAAATATTTTGATAGACCGGAGAGCTACAGTGCCACCCATTGAAAAAACTGTATATTTATTGCGCACAAAAAAGTGCGCTCGGTTCTTAATTAATTCTTCCAAATTCTTACCTCAATTGCAAATAAGGAAAGATTTCAAAAAATTCCTTTATCTTCTATCAAGTACTCTCGTAGTTGACATCCGAACGAAGCATATTGGACCAAATTATCTTTGAAACCAAAATGGCAGTATAAATAAGCGAAATGTTCGATGATTACGATATCAGGGTCAGGAGGACTATTAACAACAATTATGAGAAAAGTTTGGTTGTGGAAACAGCGAAAGAATATGTTAGGAACACACGGTTAGTAATATTTTGAGATTACAGTTTTAAAAACATGGAGAAATAAATCGAGAACCGAGCGCACTTTTTTGTGCGCAATAAATATACAGTTTTTTCAATGGGTGGCACTGTAGCTCTCTGGTCTATCAATATATTTTTTTCGGAGAGCTACAGATCTGCAGCTACATTATCTTATGATTTATTTTAAATAGATTTTAAGTACATGTATTTTAAAATAGGTAGTAAAGGACAACACTTGGAAGATATATACTTTGATAACAAGAGCCTGTTCTTGAAATAAAAATGAGAAAACTATAAAAAAAAAAAAAGATATGCGCTGAAATACACCGATTAATCGATTGTTTAAATCTCCAATCGATTGTCTAAAATCGACAGCCTTTCCGACCGATCATCAATTATAAATTGATCATCATGACAACACTATTATAAACCAAGTGATTACCAAACTTGCATGGACGATGCATAAGAAAACACGAACAGATAGGTTCTAGATTCTGGATCTGATACTCATTTTCTAGATGAATGACCAAGTTCAATATTTGGAGCAGGTCATTCCCAAGTAACTGCTTTCTGGTGACCTTTTTTTTGCATGGATGATCCATCCAGGGATGCACACTACCAGAACAGAAATATTTATTCATTTATAGAACTTGATAAAGAGTTCTGTTCTTATGACATTGTATATATTTTCAGGAGATGATATATGAAGGACATTCAGCGGCCCAGATAATCACTCAGCTTCACGACAAGATTGTACAACGAGAAGACCTCAGTGATCAACAGAAGTCTGTAACATGTGAGAAACTCGCTGTAAGTTTATGAAGTTTTCTTTAATATTAATGACTACATTTATGTTTTGAAGAATTAGGCATATGGAATTAAACACTGGATATGTGAATCCTCAATACAGATGTTATGTTACCAAGTGTCTGTTACATCTGGATTGACAAGTTTCTGTAATATCAAGGTTGTTGACAATAATTATTATTTCCAGATTGTTGACAAGTGTCTGTTATTTCTGCATTGTTGGCAAGAGTCTGTTACTTCCAGGTAGACAAGTGTTAGTTATTTCCGGGTTGTTGACAAGGGACTTTTTTTTTCTAGATTGACAAGAATGTTAATTTCAGGTTGTTGACAATTATTGTTTCTGCATTGTTGACAAGTGCCTGCTAATTACAGGTTGTTGACAAGTGTCTTGATTTCCAGGTTGTTGACAAATGTCTGTTATTTCCAGGTTGTTGACAATTATTTTTTTCTGTGTTGTTGACAAGTGCATGTTATTTCCAGGTTGTTGACAAGTACAGTATCAGTTATTTCCAGGTTGTTGACAATTATTTTTTCTGTGTTGTTGACAAGTGTCTGTTATTTCCAGATTGTTGACAAGTATTATTTCTTTGTTGTTGACAAGTGTCTGTTATTCCCAGGTTGTTGACAAGTGTTTGTTATTTCCAGGTTGTTGACAAATGTCTGTTATTTCTGTGTTGTTGACAAGTGTCTGTTATTTCCAGGTTGTTGACAAGTATCAGTTATTTCCAGGTTGTTGACAATTATTTTTTCTGTGTTGTTGACAAGTGTCTGTTATTTCCAGGTTGTTGACAAGTATTATTTCTGTGTTGTTGACAAGTATTATATCTGTGTAATTTATGACTGTCTGTTATATCCAGGTTGTTGATAAGTGTCTTTTATTTACAGGTTGTTGACAAGTATTATTTCTGTGTAATTTATAACTGTCTGTTATTTCCAGGTTGTTGACAAGTGCCTGATGGATGGAGCTGATGAATATCTTCAGTTGATGGCGCTATTTACCACTATGATGAGGGAGATTTGTCGCTGACCATGAGGGAAGAGATCTGTAATTAGTTACAAAACTTTCATTTCTTGATGGACAGGAAAATTAAAAGTGAATAGGAATCTAATTTTCTACCTTGATCTGTATCCATTTACAGATCCTTGTCCTAAGACTTGACTTATTTGCGATATACCTCTAGAGACTCAATACAAGCTTGATGAGTAAAGGCACTTGACTTATTTGTGATACACTTCTAAAGACTCAATACAAGCTTGATGAGTAAAGAGATTTGGACTTGTAAGAGAAGTGGAAACTGATTGTGTAATCTGACAATTAAATTATCAGAATTATAAAAATAAATTCCAAATTAAATTTTTTTCTTAATAGCAGCACCCGATATCAGGATTGTGATAAGTTTGACATGCAACGCCTGTAATTGTGCTTTTGTCACAAAATTCTAGCAGGCAAACTTTACCATTTAGCACTATTGCAGACTCTTGAAGATGGTGTTGACTATGATGGTTTTGGCCACATCCTACAGGTTTCATTAATAGGGGAGATTGAAATGCACAAGTTTTTGTTTAACTTCATTTGTAAATGCTTCATTTCATTTTATTCAGGTAAAAATATCACAGAATGTCATGATTCACATTTTAAACATTACAGATTTGCCTACTGATAAAAAACACACATTATATTAGCACTATGCTAATAAATAAGGATCTAATAGAGCATATACATGTAATTATTATGTTCCCCAAACGAAGTTGGGGAACATATTGTTTTTACTCTGTTTCTTATTATTATTATTTTTAGCTCTTCTGAGCCAAAGGCTCAAAGAGCTAATGCTATGGCCATTTGTGCGGTGTGCGTTAACTTTTTAGAATATGGGCCATAACTCAAGAACCCCTTGGCCAATCAGTGTCAAATTTCTCACAGGGTATCCTTGGCCCAAGGGCTACCCTTTATACTAAAATAAGGATTGGGACCCCTTAAACAAGGGGAGATAATCAGGAAAACAAAACCAAAAGTACTGGTTGCTAAAAAATCTTCTCCAGAACCACCAGGCAGATTTTCACCAAACTTACATACAAGGATCACGATATGTTGAAGATTAAAAATTGTTCAAGGCATGACCCTCGGGCAAAAGGCGTGGTCTCAAGGTCACTTCAAAGTTGACCTAAATTTACAAATAATAAAAACGTTTATATTTTGCTTACTATTAGGACTAGGATCATCAAATCTTGTAAGTTGATGCATCTCAGGACTTTACATCATGTTAACTCAAAAGTAGGTCACGGTGACCTACTTTTAAATTTTGTGGGCATTTGTTTTCAAATTGATTTGAAGGCATATTTCGGGCACTTTAAGGCCTATGATCATCAAACTTTGTCAGTTGATGCATCTTGGGTCCTTGAACAAAGTCAGCTTAAAAGTAGGTCACTGTGACCTACTTTTTGAATTTTATGACTTAAAACATTTAATCCAATTATTTCAGACACTGAGAGGTTTAGAATCACCAAATCTTGTTAATTGGTGCATCTTGGGATCTTAAAACATATTTATGAAAAAGTAGGTCACTGTGACCTACTTTTTGAATTTTGCAGGCATTTGTTTTCGAATTGTTTAAAAGGCATATTTTGATTACCTTCAGACCTAGGATCATCAAACTTGGTCAGCAGATGCATCTTGTGACTTTGAAAAATGTTGACCAAAATATAGGTCACGATGACCTAGTTTCAAAATTTTATGGCTATATTTTAGTATCTTAGGTATTTATTGGCTTAGAATCATCAAACTTTGTGAGTTGATGCATCTTGGGTTCTCGGAGAGTAACAAACAAAAAGTAGGTCACGGTGACCTATTTTTGACATTTTATGGCTTTATTTAAGTATCTATGGTACTTATAGGCTTAGAATCATCAAACTTTGTAAGTTGATGCATCTTGGGTTTTCGGAGAATGATGTCCAAAAAGTAGGTCACTGTGACCAACTCTTGACTTTTTATGGCTATATTTAAGTATCTTAGGTATTTATTGGCTTAGAATCATCAAACTTTGTGAGTTGATGCGTGATGCGTCTTGGTTTTTTCGGAGAGTGATGACCAAAAAGTAGGTCACGGTAACCTACTTTTGACATTTTATGGCTTTATTTAAGTATCTACAGTACTTATTGGCTTAGAATCATCAAACTTTGTAAGTTGATGCATCTTGGGTTTTCGGAGAATGATGTCAAAAAAGTAGGTCACTGTGACCTACTTTCGATATTTTATGGCTTTATTTAAGTATCTATGGTACTAACTGGTTTAGAATCACTAAACTTTGTTTGTTGATGCATCTTTGGTTTTTAGAGAATGTCGATCAAAAAGTAGGTCATGGTGACCTACTTTTGAATATCTCAGGTACCTTTTGGCTTAGAATCATCAAACTTTGTCAGTTGATGTATCTTGGGTTTTCAAAGAATGTAGACAAAAAAGTAGGTCACGTTGACCTACTTTTAAATATCTCAAATACTTATTGGCTTAGAATCTTCAATCTTTGTTTATTAATGCATCTTGAGTCCTCAGAAAACTTCAATCTTAATATAGGTCACTGTGAAGTACTTATGGTTTTTTATAGCTTTATTATTAAAAATATTTTCAGTCATTATTGGCTAAGAATCATCAAACTTTGTCAGTTGATGCAACTTGGGTCTTAGGATACTTAAGGTTAGAGGCTTCAAATAGAAGTGATAGATTGTACAATTTATCAGAAGAGCGATTCTAGGCCCTTGGGCCTCTTGTTAAGGTCTTCCGTTTTCACGGAAGACCTTATAGTGATTCTATTGTTTCTTATTATTATTATTATTCTTTTTTTTTGACAAAATTTTGTGCACACGATTTCTCGAAAACTATTCAGCGGTTTTCAACGCAACTTTCACAAAAAATGCGTCATTATATGAAGTTGTGCAGTCTATAATTTGTTTTGGAAAATTCCCTTCCGGTGCCAAGTTATGGACGATTTCCTGATTTTAAAAGGCAATTTTGTCGCCCCTTTTTATCGAAAATGGCTAAAGATATAAACTGGAGACTTATTGGAGACAATAGTTCGTGACTTTTAGGTTTGCAGAATCACCTTTTCGTGTGTCGTCAATACTTCCGGTCGCTAACAGAAGCAAAATTAAAAAGTCCGTATTTTCTAACTTTTTTGTTTTTCAATATTTTTCATTTATTTTTAAACTGTTGATAGAAACCCTTCTTATAATGCTTACTGTATAATTTGTTTGAATATTGATAAATCCAAACTCTAGATATTAACATTTAAAAATCTGAAGCGGGTCCAAAATGGCGGCTGTCTCTGTCAACGCCAACATTTCGCAGTAGGGGTTAACGGAGGCAGCTGAGCGTTTGCTTGAACGAAAGTAACATAAGGACAAATGAAATGTAAAGGAATACTTGGATTGTCACGTCGTATTTACGTTGCAATTCTTTGTAAAACTAAGTCCTTCTTAAACGTCTTCTATTATTAGTTTTGGCTGGTTCTCAAAGTAAAAAAAGAAAAGACTAAATGTGCAAATGAAATTCGATACTTAAAAACTTCTGATTTGCACCACAGAAAAACAAATCTTAAATCATAGTTATTAGTAATAGTTTTTCAAGAACGAATACCAATAAATACAGTAAGTACCCGGTATAGAACTTAACCACTGTTTTTCCCATGCACACTTGTGCCATATAAAACTAATAGAAAGATAACCATTTTTTAAAAGATCGCTTAATGGAGTTTATATTAACATTCTTGTCTCAAAGATCTTATTCAATTTTTTGAGCACAAATGGTATCCAATTCCTTGACCGTCGTAAGCGAGCCTTGTTTTTCGGCGAAACATTTCAACCTTTTCTTGAATGTTTAACTAGTCGGGATAGTTCACTTTGGGGATAAACAGGAAATTTAAAAAAGTTAAAATTCATAGCCGTTTCACTGCTTAAGTGTTTCTTGCTTACAATCGATATGGAATTTGTAAAATGTTTTAAATATACTTTGTAATCGTCAAATTTTAGGCTATAAGAACGTTTTTCTTTATTTCATTGAAGCTATCACACCTATTAAATAGAACATTCCAAAGAAAATGTGCTAAGAATAACTCGTGAAATATCGAAATTATTGGCGCGAAATTATGAATAGTGACTCGCCTTTCATAATTCTAAGACAAAAGCACTGTTATACGGAGGTATATATACAAGAAGATTTAGAGCAGAGGTCCCAATAGCGTAATATTTAGCGCGTTGGATTTTCATGCTGGCGACTTGGATTCAATCCCCCTTGTGTGCAATATTTTTTTTTCTATTTCAGCTCGATTTTACGTTTTTTCTCCCGGAATCGGACGGAAGACCTCTCGTTGCTCGCAACGAGATCGTTTCTAGTTCTTCTTCTTCTTCCTGGGTACTTTTTTGTCCGGGAGTGATCTTGTAAACTACACATCCCACTTAGGTAAAACCTTTTTAGGGTCAGTAGGCATATTATGTAGATTTGCAGAACGAAGGTCATTTTGCGCGCACGTGCTTGCAAGAGCATGCACGTGCAACACGTGAAATGACCGATTTAATTGATATAGGCGTAACTTTTTACATTCTTGATGAAATGCTTTGAAACTCATAATATAAGGATATATTAGTAGCATAGACAATATGACATGGTCAAGATAGCAAGATCTCATGCGGATGCACGTGCGCTTCGCTCTGATTGGCTGAAACTAAGGTTTCAATATCTTTCTTGTTTTTTGACGAAATCTTTTGAGATTTTGAACATAGCCATGCATTAGGATATCCTACAACATAATATATAGAAATTATCATGAAAACACGTGCATGCACGTGCGCTGCAATCTGATTGGCTTAAACTTTAAATAGCTATAACTCCCTTGGTTTTCAACCAGACAGGATGGGATTTGGAACATAGATAGATATATTGGACTTCTACAAGAAGGTATGGTCACCATGCACATGCGTACACGTGCGTGTACGTGCGCTGTAATCTGATTGGCTGAACTTGAAACAGCTATAACACCCTTGGTTTTCAATCAAACGGGGTGGGATTTAGAACATATATAGATGTAATGGACTTCTACAAGAAGGTATGGTCACCATGCTCATGTATGCACGTGCGTGCACGTGAAATGAGCAAAATCAAAAATACACTTGAATGAGCGTATTTTTTTTTTCATACTTTTGGATGAAATACTTTAATATTTAGTATATTAAAATATAAAGATTGTGTAGACAAGATGATATGGTCATTACGCACATGCATTCACATGTGCACGCGTGCAATGCTAGAATTTGAATGGACTTGGTACACTTCTGGGTAAACGTTGTTAAAGTCTCAAATGCATAGCGTTTGTCTTATTTCATGAAGCTCACAAGGAATATGGCACCAAAAGGGAGTTGGGGAGCGTTTGGGGAACATCTGTAACGGTCCCCGTTACAATTAGCACTAGTTATTACATAAGTTACAGGACATACAGATGATCGGTACATGTATTACCTAAGGATAGCCAATAAAAGCCTTTTAAAAAAGCTTATTTCCAATTGGGTCCTCAAATAGCAATTATGTTAGTAACAAAAAATTACATTAATAGAGGAATTTTTCAATTGATATTTTTTTCTGCTATTTTAAAAAGGAGGTTGAAAATAAATGCATAAAGGTTACAAATGACTCAGAGTATTTGTAATAGCTCAGGTCACCTGAATCAGGTAGCCTAAAAACAAGTCATATAAAACTTGACTATGAACCAGATACTATGATGTCATAATCTCCTAGTTTCTTTCATTTATACAGACTACATGTATTAACTTTAATTAAATGCACTTAATTGCCTTACTTTTACCGAGGTAATGAGCTAGTCTTTTAAACCCTGTACTTTTGTTAGTTTATAGCTTACTGGAATGTGACTGAGTGGTTTTCTCCTTGCTGTAGAGTTGAGTATCATTCTGTTAGTTAAGTAGGGTTGGATGAGACAGTACATGTATTACTCCAGGTGGGAGGGAGGTGAAACTTCTAAAAATAGCTGCATAAATCCATACAAGATTCCTAAAAATAGATTAAATAAGGTCAGTAAAATATAAGGGAGTGTCTCGAGCATTTTAATGAAGTCAATGAATTCATGTCATATGAAGAAATAAATAAAAGACTGACAAATTTTATTAAATGCAGAGTCAAAATTAGGTGAAAAATAAAATTAATTTTAAAATAGCAATTTTTAAAGACTGCTCTACTATACTATCTCTGTTGGAAACATGACCATATTCAAAGGGAATATTTCAATTGGTTAAGATTACAGAATGTGTTAAATTAATGACTGTGATCATGTTAACATTTTGAAAAAAAAAAAGTTATCACAAGTATATTAAGGT